GCAACTTCCGCCGCTGTGGGCGGTGGGGGTACCCCGCAACTCCTGCTGCTGCGGGTGGTGGGGGAATCCCGCAAGTTCCGCCGCTGTGGGTGGTGGGGGTACCCCGCAATTCCCACCGTCGCGGGTGGTGGGGGAACCCCCGAGCTCCCAGCCATGGGCGATGGGGGACCCTGGAGCGCTGACCCACAATCTGCGATGGGGACCCCCGGAGCTCCTAGTCGCCATGCAGCTGACCTGCTGCAGGTGGTGTGGGCACCCACAGATCCCCATTTTGTCACTGATATTTTCAGTAAAAATCAGGGACAGGTCACGGCTTCTGTGAATTTTTGTTTATTGCCCGTGACCTGTCCGTGATTTTTACAAATAATAACCGGGACAAAATCTTCGCCTTAGTCACAGGCGATTTAATAAAATTGAATTGAATAAAGAAAAATAACAGGTTGGACCAACCCCCGTCAGGGATGGTCCAGGTTTACCTGGTCCCGCCTCAGCGCAGGGGGCTGGATTCGGTGATCTCTCGAGGTCCCTCGCAGCCTGACAGATCTGTGAGTCTGTGAAAAACGGGGAAGGGTGGACTCTGCCTTCCCCCCCTACTATTATCCCTGCCCTTCCCCCTCCCTCATTCCTTTCCCCTTAGCTGTGCCCTCTCCCCTGCATCCCTGGCCCCGTAACAGCCTCGTCCTCTCTCTCAGTGCACAGGGTGGTGGCCGGCGTAGCCCCGTGAGTCGCCATGAACGCACATCCTCGTCGCATCCGCCTGAAGCCCTGGCTCATCGCCCAAGTGAACAGCAACCAGTACCCAGGCCTGCAGTGGGTGAACCCCGAGCGGAAGCTCTTCTGCATCCCCTGGCGCCATGCCACCCGGCACGTCCCCACGCAGGACGACGAGAACACCGTGTTCAAGGTGAGCGCCCAGGGGCCCGTGGGACGCCAGGCTGGGGTGGGGTACCCCTCGGGGCACATGGCACCCAGCTGACATGTAAGGAACGGGGTTGGCTGGGTCACGCGCACAATGTGACGTGACCCCCAACTGGGACGCACTGGAGCAGACCATGGGTCCCTCTGCCCCCTTGCGGGGAGGCTCACGGGACGGTGTCCCAGAATGCACCCTGCTAGCTGCGTGGGACTAGCCGCCAGGCCGCTCAGTTAGCCGTCTCTTGAGGTGTTTGAAAAGGCCTCAGTTCCCCCGCCCTCCCCTCACCCATGAAACAGGGCCGATCATACCCGCCTCGCAGCAGGACGCGTGATGTCCGCACCCCTCTTCGAACTGCCCTGCGGACGCAGCTGCGGAAGGGTGATGTGCTGCTGTCGGCCAGGCCCGGAAGCCCGTGGCATTTTATGCCAGCCGGTGTCACTGCAGAAGGTGGCTCTGGCCCTGGTGTTGGCCTGCCAGTGAATTACATGTTCTGTCGGGAGAGCGTCTCCGAGCTGCCTTCTCCCTGGGCCACTCCCCGGCTGCCCTTTGTCACCGCTTAGCCACAGAGCAGTTCAGGAGTGAATCTTTCATCAGCGGACAGGCGAAAGCTTGGATTTCCCGGGCTCCTAGCACTGGGGCTGGGGCTTGACCTATGTCTGTGACCACCCCCTGCATCCCAACCTCCCAGGCCTGGGCCAAAGAGACCGGCAAGTACAACGAAGGGGTAGATGAGCCGGACCCAGCCAAGTGGAAAGCCAACCTGCGCTGCGCCCTCAACAAGAGCCGCGAGTTCAAGCTGATCTACGACGGCACCAAGGACACGCCCATGCAGCCCTACAAGATCTACGAGGTGTACGAGGGCCACCAGCCCAACGGAGGTACCAGCAGCCCGGGCAAGGGGGATCTAGTGCATAGAGTGTGCTTAGACGGTCAGAAAGCCTGGGTCAAGGTCCTGCACCACTCTTGAGCAAAGTGAGCTGCCATGGGATAAGGGAGAAGGTTCTCTCATGGATTGGTAACTAGTTACACCTCTACCCCGATATAACGCGGTCCTCGGGAGACAAAATATCTCACCGCGTTATAGGTGAGACCGCATTATATAAAACTTGCTTCCCCCCCCCGTTCCTTGTTCCCTGACAGCCCCCTCCAGAGACCCCCCTCCCTAATCACCCCCCAGGGCCCCCCCCTACCCAACCCCCCTGCTCCCTGACTGCTCCGACCCCTGGACCCCTGACAGGCACTCACTGGCAGCGGCTGGAAACGGAGCAGCCCGGCCCCAGCCCGCTCCACTCCGCCAGCTCCCAGCCGCGGCGCTCCGCTTCCCGCCGCCAGTGAGTGCGGGGAGGTTGGAGAAAGGACGCCCTCCGCACTCACCTGCGGCAGGAAGTGGAGCGCCGCGGCTGGGAGCTGGCGGAGTGGAGTGGGCTGGGGCCGGGCTGCTCCACTTCTGCCACTGCCAGTGACTGCGGGGGGGGATCCCTTCCCCCGAGCGACACGGCTGCGGCCGGAGTGAGGGAAGCGGAGCGGGCTGCTCCTGGCCCCCTGCTAATCCCCCGGGCCACTCTGGGACTGCGGGGCCCCCAAAAGTGCCCTTCCACAGCTCCTGCCCCCCAGGCCCTCGGGGGGGGGAGAGCCCCTGACCGCCCCCAAGACCCTCTGCCCCTTATTGAACCCCTCGACCCCGGCCTGGCCCGGCACCCTTAACACGCTGCTCAGAGCAGCATGTCAGAGCTTTACCGCCTTGTATGCGAACCTGTGTTATATCGGGGTAGAGTGCAGGAAACAAAGGGGAGGAATAAATGGTCAGTTTTCAGAATGGAGGGAGGTAAATAGTGGTGTCCCCCAGGGGTCTGTACTGGGACCAGTCCTATTCAACATATTCATAAATGATCTGGAAAAAGGGGTAAACAGTGAGGTGGCAAAATTTGCAGATGATAGAAAACTACTCAAGATAGTTAAGTCCCAGACAGACTGCGAAGAGCTACAAAAGGATCTCTCAAAACTGGGTGACTGGGCAACAAAATGGCAGATTAAATTCAATGTTGGTAAATGCAAAGTACTGCACATTGGAAAACATAATCCCAACTATACATATAAAATGAGGGGGTCTAAATTTGCTGTTACCACTCAAGAAAGAGATCTTGGAGTCATTGTGGAGAGTTCTCTGAAAACATCCACTCAATGTGCAGCCGTCAGAACAGTGAACAGAATGTTGGGAATCATTAAGAAAGAGAGAGATAATAAGACAGAAAATATCATGTTGCCTCTATATAAATCCATGGTACGCCCACACCTTGAATACTGCGTGCAGATGTGGTCGCCCCATCTCAAAAAAGATATATTGGAATTGGAAAAGGTTCAGAAAAGGGCAACAAAAATGATTAGGGGTCTGGAATGGCTGCCGTATGAGGAGAGATTAATAAGACTGGGACTTTTCAGCTTGGAACAGGGATGACTAAGGGTAGATACGATTGAGGTCTATAAAATCATGACTGGTGTGGAGAAAGTAAATAAGGAAGTGTTGTTTACTACTACTCATAACACAAGAACTAGGGGCCACCAAATGGACTTAATAGGCAGCAGGTTTAAAACCAAAAAAAGGAAGTATTTTTTCACACAACGCACAGTCAACCTGTGGAACTCTTTGCCAGAGGATATTATGAAGGCCAAGACTATAACAGGGTTCAAAAAAGAACTAGCTAAATTCATGGAGGATAGGTCCATCAATGACTATTAGCCAGGATGGACAGGGATGGTGTCCCTAGCCTCTGTTTGCCAGAAGCTGGGAATGGGCGACAGTGGATGGATCACTTGATGATTCCCTGTTCTGTTCATTCCCTTTGGGGCACCTGGCATTGGCCTCTGTCGGAAGACAGGATACTGGGCTAGATGGACCTTTGGTCCAACCCAGTATGGCCGCTCTTATGTTCTTATGGTAAGGGGGACTGGGCCGGGGGAGGAGGGGAACTGGGGGACAAGCAGGGTGCCTGGAAAGGAGGCTCCTGGGAGAAA